TACATACTCCAAAGTACAAACCCTTCTGACGCTATCAGAGAGGATTATTACAGAAAAATGCAATATAGTACAAATTAAACGGTGCAGAACTACTCATCCCTAAAGAAATCCTAGCACATTTTCTTCACGTTATTCTCAATTAAAAAGAAGAGAAAGCAAAGTAGCCCTATCATGCTACCCCTCTACCCGATCATTTTCCAAGCTGAGGCTGCTGTGCATCACTTTGCCTGCTCTGAGAGCACAGGACTCCCAGCTCACCGAGAAGGCCAGAGGCATGTAGTTTCGGCGCCGCACCAACTTCTTCCGGTCCCGCTCGATCTTCTCTTTCTGAGCCAACTGCTGGTAGTACTCAACCAGCTTGTTAATCTGGAGTTAAGAAGAGGAACAGATACCCAGTGAAAGAAGAACAAACATCACGCCAGCTGCAATATTTCAATGTGAACAAGCTGGGGTTCCTGTTACTTGTTTCATTCCATTCCTAGTTCCAGTGTATCACAGAATATACATTAAAGAAGCTGCTGTGTCTTAAAATTTATTTAATGCACATCGTGGGTAACAAACTGATGTTCCTCTGGGAATGAGGCCTACCAGAAAACAGCATCCTGTTCTGATTTTCCATTTAGTAACTGTCCCCATTTAGATTCATCCTTTAGTTTTTCCAAAGCATGCTTTCAAACTTAGTAAGAGTTTTAAAGGGAGACCAGTAAGACAAAATTTGATGTGCTCTGTCAAAGGTTGAGAACACTTCTCATTAGATAGCAGGCTTTCTCAGACACACACAGACAGGCTTCCTCAGACACACATAGACAGCATGCCCATTAATGCAATTTTAACAGTGCCACTTGTTACTATGATTGCAGTGGAAATCCTCCCAAACAAGCAATTTCATACTATGACATCCATGGGTATGCCTCTAGGAGGCCTTCCTTCCACTGAACTCAGTTAAGGCAGACATTATGAACTTGACATGGCACCTGAAGAATTGTACAGGTGCAAAAAAGAAGATCGAGATGGCCTGGAACATCTAACAGCTCCTTTTAGCTGATGCCATCTCAGCCTAAGGGTGGCCTTCCCCTTCACTCACCCTCTGTGTGTGAGGATTCTCGGGTTCCTGCCAGCCACCACTAGCTGCAAGAGAATAAAACAAAGTCCTGAGGAGATTTCCAGACTCCACACAGAAATCACACCTTACACCCACTTGTCTCAGTCCTAGCTTTGAAATACGGCTTTCCCTATATTCACTACCCTTACCATCACCTGCATAAATATATACCTCTATGAGCTTTTCACAGGCAGGTTTGGGTTGAAGTGACTTGTCCAGCTTTTACACTGTGTTTTTAAACAACTTCTGCTTGAGGAATACTTAGAACAGCACCCAAGGGTGACTATGGCATTATGCACATTAGTTACTAAATACATGTTCTTATTAACAGCTGCCCATGTCTCTGCACCTTCATCTCCAAGTCTTCAGTCATATGAACACTAGGAGTCAAAGAGAACCTGCCTGCTCTACTCAGCCTCGTTCCTGGAGCCTGATACATATTTTCTGCGTGTCTTATGGACTGAGAAATAGACAAAAGCTTTGTTCCATTTCTGTCATAAAGAGAAAAAACAGGGGCACACACTAATACCTCTGAAATAAGCCTAAACAAACAAAAGTGACAGGAAATGAGCTAGATTTCTGTGCTGTTAGACTGAGCAACTTCAAAGACTGAAGTAAGCTCTCAGCAGGGAGAGAGCACACCTCCTGGCAAAGATCCACCTCTGACAGCTTTCTGACAAGTCAGGTAACACCAGTATGAAAGTGGGTCAGATGCTACTGTTACTAACTAACTACTGTTACTAACTCAGACCTTCAGATGAGATTTCACCAAAAAAGCATTTTCTTGTTAATTTCCCAACTGCATCTCAAAATCTAGACGAACATTATGCTTATCATACAGCCATAAACTAGGCTGATTGTTTTCTACCTTCACTAGACATGGTGGACTACTATTTGCCTTGTATTTTTGCACGTCACTTACCGACAGACTTGTCTGCCATGCCCACATCCCGGGAAGTCCAGCGGCAAAACCCACAGGCCAAATAATATGCTTTCTTCATGGTAGTTTTGGCCGGGTCATCAGGGAGCGGAGCAGGAATGCTAGTGGCCCGGGTGGAAAGGGTGTGCATGCAGCAGGGGCAGTCAAAACAGTTAGCACACCTGCAGAGAGAAAGGCCGAAGAATCATGGAAACATTAAGGCTGAAAAAGCCCTCCAAGATCATCCAGTCCAATTGTCAGCCCATCACAGTGCTCCTAACGCAGCCCACAGGCACAGGAACAGACACTCGATGGGCAAATTAAGATTAAATCAACATCATGGGAAAACAGTTTTTCCCCAAGACAAACCAAAAGGTAACGAGTGATATAATTTTTGAAGAGGCCTTCAGGTACGTGTGGTTGGGTGCTCATAACATAAGGACAAAGCTGCTCTAAATGGTGGCCCTTGATGACAAGTGAACCTTACCGATTCTTTTTCAGCTTGGCCTCAGCTGATGGCATGTTTTCCAGGCAGCTGGGGCAGTAGTGGGAATCCACCTGAGGGACAACACAGACAGGTCACTGTTCTGCCATGCTGCAGCACACGGACTGCAACTGGAAACTGTCATGCTATTCATGAGGCTTTGCACGCAGACAGGTGGGCGAAGCCAGAGAGGACGTGAGGTGTTCTTTCAGTATCTGAAACCTCAGGCTGTCTCAGGCAAAAACTGATGTTTAATAATGCTGGGAGGTTTCTTAAGGCACTTAAAGGACTCTGCCTGCTACATGGCAAAGGCACAGCGGGAGTTGGATGACTGCAGATCCCACTGTGTCACTTCTGAGCCCGGACAGCAGGCCGTAAAGCATCATTTGCCATTTTCATCTACATTTATTCCGCCTTGTACCTACAGCGGGCACAAAGCCACACGTTTCAGGAAACGTTTTGCTGTCACAAACTGACACTGTCAATTAGCACAACGGTAACAGGAAGGAGACCCAGCCCAAATTAGGAAACATCCACAGTTAGGAACGGCCAGGCCTGAGGCCTCTCGGGAGCAGCGCGATGGAGGCAGGTGGTGACACATCTATTTTCTGTGCCCGGGAGGCTTTACGGTTTGCAGAGACGCCTCTTCAAGGAATCTAATGCTTTTCGTAACGCTTCCTTAGCCTCTGATGCTTTCTTAATTCGCAGTACAACCGGGCAATTGATTTAGGGAGCCCGAGCGACCACCAGAACCCGGGCCCGGGACAAGGCCGCACCGCCCCGCAGGAGCTCGGCCCTCTACACGCAGTCCCACCCCCGCCCCGTGCCATCTCGCCAATCAAAACCCAAGCTCTGGAGATGGACAGGATTACTGAGCCAATCCACCGCGAGGCACCGCCCCCTCTGTCATGGACAGCCAATCGCATCGCTAAGCCCGGGCACCGCTGTGCCCACCCACAGCTAGCGCCGCGAGCCAATGACGAGGCGAGTCGCGAGTAAGCGACAGACGAGGCAGCCAGTAGGCGCGCGCGGAGGGCAGCGCCCCGTTCCGTATGCCGGCGCGGCGCGGCCGGGCGGCCGTTACCTCGTGCGAGACGCACTCCAGGGAGCGGAGCTCGCTGCAGTAGCGGCAGAAGTAGAGCTGCGACAGTGGAGCCCGCATCTCCTTCTCGCCGCGCACCAGGTACAGCACCCGCTCCGACTGCAGCAGCGACGCCATCTTGGGAGGGAACGGCCGCCACGCGCCGCGCCGCGCTTACGTCACCGCGCCGCGCCGCCCCCGCGTGCGGCGGAGACCACGTGACCCGCCTATTTAACCCCTGCGGCGCCGGGCGGGACGGGATGGTGCGCTGACGCCCCGTTGTATTGTTGTATTGCGTGCAGAGCTCGTGTACGGCCTGCAGAGCCTGAATGCCCCATGCAGTGTTCCTGTGGATGCGCGTGGCCTGTCGCAGCGCAGCACTGACTGTTTGTTGCATGTGTTCTTGCAGCGTTGCATTGGGTGTGCATGGCCTGGCTGCCTCTTGCAGCGTTCCACTGCCTGTACGTTGCACAGGTGCTTCCCGCAGCGTTGCAGTGCTGCATTCAGCTGCCTCCCAAGCAGTGCGCTGGCTGTGGGGAGGAGGAGAGCAGCAGTGCCCCAGCTGTGCCTGCAGCTCCTGGTTGTCCCTGTGCAGGCTCAGGCACAGCCACAATTTACTGAGAAGTGAGCAGCACAGAACAACCCAGCGATCTGCTGATGTGTGTCAGGTCTGGGCGCTATGCTTCGCTGTGCTCTGCAGGCAGAGTGCATGAAGTCAGCTCCTAGGCATGGCACTGAGGCTCCTCTGTGTGAACCCTGCGGTGTCGTGCAGCTCCAGCAGCCGCCTGCCCTTCCTGTGCGGCTGTGGAGGAAACCCAGGGCTGTGATGCTTCCTCTGCATAGCGATAAGACCCGGTGTGGCTTTGTCCCAGGCTGCACTGGAGGCTGATGAGGGCTGAGCTGCTGAGGGCTCCTGCTCAGCTCTGAGCGTAGGGCTGCTGGGCTGGAGGAAGTGATCTGTGATGCTGCTCAGCAGTGAAATGTCAATAGAATACAATGAAAGAGTGTCATGACCTGGGAGGAACCCACAGGGACCATCCAGCCCAACTGTGGCTTCATATAGGAACACACAAACCCTATGGCTTAGCAGTGTCCAAACGTTTCCTGAGCTCCTTCAGCTCCGGGCCATACCCCTGCCCTGGGGAGCTGTTCCATGCCCACCGCCCTGTAGTGCAGAACCTTTTCCTGACCCTCCCCTGACGCAGCACCATGCCGTACCCTGGAGTCCTATCACTGGTCCCACGGCGCATCCATCCCACATCCATCCCCACACCCCGCAGCAGTGGCCGCGTTACCCCATCCCCTCCGTTCTCCCGCACGCAGCGGGCTGTAGGGGCTCGGACTTCACTCTGGAGAGTGAGTTCCCAGCCCTCTCTCCCCTCCGGGCCTCCTCCTCCTCTCCCTCCCCCGCCCGGCCCCGTTTCCCCTCCCCGCCCCGTCCCTCCCCCGACGGCCGCCCCGGCTCCGCGCTCCGTGCCGGGGCCGTGTTCGGCGGGACGCTGCCTCCGCTCTGCGCCGCAGGTAGGGGACCGGCTCCGGGACCGGCTGTGGGTACCGGCGTGGGGTTCGGTTCGTGCCGCGCGGTGCTGCTCCCCGCCCCGAGCCACGCGTGGCCGTCGGCACCGCGTTTGGTCCCGGGAAGCTCGGAGCGCACCAAGCGGGCGTGGAGCAGCCCCGGAGACCACCCGTGGGACCCCCGTCCCATCGAGGAGGCTCTGAGAGTGCAGCCCACGCGTGTTTTCAGCGCGCTGGAGTTGCTGAGGAGGAGGGGAGACACCGCGGTGTTGATGCCCACCGTGTGGTGCCGAAGCAGCGCTGCTAATTGAGCCGTTAATTGCGTGACTCAGCGGGGACCGGGGGGTGCGGGGATCTGTGAGCACCGGCTGCGTGGCACCACGCGTTCCAGTGCTCTGCTCCCCCAGAGAGCGGCTTTGGGGCTGGACACCCACCGGCTGCCCCCAGTGTCTCACTGCAGCATCGTTCTGCACTGCCAACAGACCCCAAAGTGAGCAGGCAACCAGTGGGATGCCTGCTGGCAGCTTTGCTCCATTAGCTCCTTTAATTGCAGCAGCAATTAACAGGGAACATTTTTTTTTTCCCCGGGCTGCCATCCAGCTGCATCAAAGCACGCCATAAATCCCACGGCGCCTCGAAGGAGCTTTGGCCAAAGCCTGTTTGCTCTGCAAGGAGCACATGGCTGAAGCTGGACGTGGTCTCCTTGGGGAGGCTTTGGGCTCTACAGCCCCATCAGCCCCATCGCTGCTCTGTGTCTCTGTTTTAGGATGGACCTCCCTATCTCTGCTGATCCTGCTGCCCTCCCCAAGCACATCTTGGACATCTGGGTCATCGTTCTTATCATCCTGGCCACCATCCTTGTCATGACAGCCCTGTTGCTGTGCCCAGCCACAGCTGTCATCATCTACCGAGTACGGACTCACCCCACACGCAATGGCATCGTGTGAGGGAGGACAGCAGGACTCCCACCACGGGGCACCCCGAGAGTGGGGAGAAGATGGGGCTGGAGCAGGAGTGAAGCCACCATGCTGCTGGGGAGCACAGCAGGATCTGGTTGCGTGGCATTGAGGACATGGAGGCGATGCCCAGCTGGAAGTGACTTGTTCTTGTAAGATAGCTTGCATCTGCCATCTTGTAGCCATGTTATCCCATTGGGACTCTCCCAGCACCAGCAGCAAGGCAGCAAAGACTGTAAATGCCTGGCATAGTTATTTCTCCAGCTGCTGGGGTGACTGGAAAAGAAGAGTCAGAGCCAGATGACGGATGTGGCTTCTGGTTGTGCATCCATACTGCTGAAAGCATTGCTGCAGGAGCCCATCCCAGCAGGAATGCAGCTGGCACTAGTGGTTCCATGTGTCAGATATCGACTGGAATTGCAGGAAACCTTGCAGGGTTCAGATCCTATGGGTCCAGTGGGACAGAGGAGTATGGGAAGCTCCTCCCTGCATGGTGTTGGAGCTGCGTCCCTTCCTCTTTGCCTTCCTACCAAACAGGCAGCAGAGGGTTCCCCCACAGGTACTGCCAGACCAAATAAGCTCGTAGAAAATAAATTGTCTTTATTCTATATGTTTATGTCTATATGTCTATATGTCTACGTGGACAGAGTGGGCTCTGTCCATGTGGTTGGTGTCGGGGCACAGCGCTTTGCCACAGCTTCCCAAACCCTTGCCCACCCATGAGCCCATTGGCACAGCCCCACGCTGCAGTGCAACCTCTGCGCTGGGTGCGATGTAGGTCCAGGGCTGCCGTGTGTGGGACAGGAGCCCTGCGGCCAGACCGGCATCCTGGCATGACTCAACATGAGAAAGTACGTAAGCAGTGAGCTGAATCAGGCTGGGATGTGGGAACGGTTGCTTAAACGCTGCGTTCACCGCTGCGGAGGTACATCCTCTCATACTGGGCAGGGTTTGCTTTGGGGTCAGGGGGAAGCGCAGATCCCAGGGAGCAAGGAGATATTCTCCTTTTGAGCTGTCGTATTGCTCTCCCCTCTCAAGTTGCTGAACTGGAGCAAAGAACCAGATTTCTTCCTCCTTTGTTCCTCCTCTCTCCCTCTCTCGCTGGCAGTCACAATGTGCAGCTGGTGGTGGTCACAGTGCTGCGGCTCAGAGCAGCCCCTGCCTTGCTGCAGTCCCCCCATCCCACCCCACTGCCAGCAGCTGCTGCCTGGGACATGCGCGGGGCGGCTGCGGTGTGTGGAGCAGAGCAGAGCAGCGTTACAGGAGGTAGACAGCGACAAAGCCACAGCTGTGTCAGTGGTTTAAGGAGGAAGCCTGGCTTGAGGTAAGAGCAAAAAAACAGCTGTTCCCACCTCCCCGAATGCTTTTCTCCTGGACCAGGGGTGCACAAGGGATTTCCTTTTGCGGTGGCAGAGATTTCTGGGAAGATTCGATCCTATTGCAAACATTTCCAGGAAAGGCATTGTGGAGCAATGCAAAGAAGGCTTTGTGAGCAGAGCCCGGAGCCACGTGAAGCAACATGGCAGCAGAACGGAGAGGGGGGGGGGAGCAGGGGCACTTCAAGAGCATGACAAGGGAGGATTGCACACCTGCAACAAAAGTTCAGAGGTTGTGCTGGGACTAATGTTTTTCCATGGCCATGTGCTGGCTCCCAGGGTGCAGCAGAGGTGCACGGTTTCTCTGTCCCTTGCTGTGGTCTCTACAGCCTCAGATGTGCAGAACGGATGAGCACTACTGGAAGTAGTATGAAGGGTATGGAGGCGATGGGTGTGGAGTGCCTGGTGCTGACCCAAAGCCATGCAGGGCAGGATGCTGCTGTCCCACTGCAGCACCGGAGGTGGTGGTAGCAGGGATGGGACTGGAAGCACTGCTGGCTGTCTATCCTCAGCCCCTGCCAAACATCTGCAGCAGGCGGGGCTGGCTCCAGCAGAAAAACACCCGAGGAGGGAAGCTGCTGGGCAGCCAGCCTATCCCACACTCTCCTTGTTGGGGTGGGGGATGCTGCTTCAGCCTTGACATGGATTTGGGGTGACACAGGCAGGGTCTCACCGAACTCAGCCATGAGGATGGGGATCCATCGACCACAGCTTGCTGAATCCTTCCCTGTGCCTCAGTGCTCTCCCCAGGGAGGCTGGCTTGGCGTCAGGACCCAAGGAACAATTTATTTTTGTTTTGGTTTAGGAAAAAAAAAAAAAAAGGCGGTTCAGGAGCAGGTCAGCCCTTCCCTGTGTACGGAGGCGATTTGGGGACGTGTGGAAGGGATGTGTCCACTTCTGCAGCACAGCGCCAAGTCCCTGCGCACAGCTGGAAACCCACCAGAACCCCACACCAGCAATTTGGGGATAAATATAAGAATGGTGTGAAATAGCAGAGAGGGAACACATCTCAAGCAGCCCCACTGCTGTGTCCAGAGTGTTCCCTGCTATGGGGGATTAGAGAAGGGCTAAGCCACCTCTCCACATGCTTAAAGCTTTGGGGAACACTGTGATTGAGGAACACAGAGGGACCTGTGGGGGTACACTGCCCCATGGCCAGGCTGTAGGGTCCCCTCCATTCCATTTTGCAGGGAGCAGAACCTGAGCCAGCTGTCCCTTGCTGCAGGCATGACCTATCCACTCTGCTCCTAGGACCAGAGGTTCACTGCTCTGAACCCTGTTTCCCTAATTAAGCAATCCCAGCTGTGTTCCATCAATCTGTGGCACTTCCCATTACTGACACCAAGCAACCCTGGGGCCCTTTCAGAGCCTGCAGCCCCATCCCAAGACATAGTGTCCCTGCCATGCGATGGGGGTTGCTCCCCTGAGCCCACAGCATCGCTGCCCTTCTCCTTCAGTCCTCTGGGTTTGGGAGGAAGCCCTGGTCTGGCCAGCACTGCTCTCTTGCAAAGGTAAAGTCCAGCTCTGGTGCTGGAGCCTGGATACTCATTGTGTCCCAGCGCTCACCCACTGCCACACTCTGTCCCAGGTCAGTGAACCCCTGACCACAGCCTCCCCCTACCTCCCCCAGACCAGTTCATCAGGCCATTTGGAGGGATTTAAGGGAATTTACACCTCATTGCGGATATTTCCCTTGGAGCCAGCCCAGGGTAAATGTTTGCATTCCCAGAGTGTGCAAGAAGGGCCTTGGAAATTCCTGTCCTTGAGGATAAGGGGATAAGGGACCACAGGGTCCTGTCCTCAGCTTGTGACTGCAGCATCACAGTGGGAGCACTGCGGGGTCACCCTATAGAGCCCAATCCAATCTCCTGAAGGATGCTGATGGAATGCTTTGGTTCCTGCACTCGCCCATCCCTACCCAGGGATGGCAGCAGGGTATCACCTTGCCCAGGTGCTCCTTGCCAGGGTGGGGCTTTTAAATCCCATTGCATAAACCAGGATTTTAATCCCCAGGGGCTCAAATTGCAGCCTGTGGGCCACACACTGCTGCCAAGCAGAAGCGGCACTGCCAACAGTCCCCAGCATCCCCTCCCACCCCCAACATAATAAAAAATGAAAGAAAGAAAAAAAGAAAACAAACACTAAAACCCCCCAAATAAACCAAAACACAATAAATCAAAGTAAAGGAAAACAAAAAACAAAAAACCTCGATGCCCCGCCGGCTGCGCATCGCCCGCCCCAGGGCGCACACACGGTTAACGGCGCGGCCCCCCGCCTTCTCCCCCCCCCGCCGCCGGCGTTTGGCCCGGCCCCGCGGTCCCGCCGCTATTTCCCCGGCGCCGGGCCGGGTGCGGGCAGAAGGCGGTGAGCCCGAACCCCTCCGTGCCGCCGTCCCGGGGGTCCCCGCACCACCCGCCCGCCCCCGATATGGGGTGCCGAGCCGTCTGCGTGCTGGCCGTGCTGCTGGCCGGGCTCGTCCCGCCGGGGCAGGGCCAGGAGAGGGAGATGGTAAGGAGTGGGGGGTCGCGGGGGGTCCGTGGAGCAGTGCCGAGGAGGGAGGGGTGCGGAGCGTTGTGCCCCCACTGTGCTGCCCGGGCTGGGCGGTGCTCCCAGCGTCGGGTGCGCGCAGGGCGGCAGGATACGACCCGGGGCGGCGGAGCTCCCCGTGACTCTGTCCCCTGCCAGCTCCTAAAATAGCCCCCTACGGTGCCGGGCACCGCGGTGGGCACGGCCGCCCGCTCCCCCGTTAACCCCCGCACCGCGCGGCTCCGAGCGCGGCCGTCCCTCGGTCACCGCGATGCGTCCGTCCCGCGGCGCCGCGTCCGCTATGGGGGGGGGGGGTCCGTTCTCATCCCCGCTGTGGCACGGCCCCCTTTTCGCCTTCTCGGGACTCTGCAGGCGGGTAAACATCCCCGCCGGTGCAGCAGCCGCTCCCGTACGATGGGTCTGCGCACATCTGCACACGTGTGCGTGCATCTCCATACGGAGCCCACCCTGCTGCCGTGACACGTCCCTCGTGTCCTACGTGGTGGCCAACGCTGTCGTGGCACAGTGACGGCCCCGAGCCCGGCCCCACAGCCCGCTCCCCATAGGTGAAATGCTACGACTCCGTGCGGGGCACCATCTACGACTACGGGGCGCTGACCATCGATGGGGACGAGTACATCCCCTTCCGAAAGTACGCGGGGAAGATGGTGCTCTTTGTCAACGTGGCCACGTACTGAGGGCTCACCCTGCAGTACCTCGGTAAGGTCCCCATACCTGCCCTGCCCTGGGGATGGGGTGACAGCACTGCAAAGGGCCTGGGTTCCCCTAACCTATCCTGGGCTCTTTGTCTGCAGAACTGAATGCACTACAAAATGAGCTGGGGCCCTATGGACTTGTTGTCCTGGGCTTCCCCTCCAACCAATTTGGGAAGCAGGAGCCTGGCCAGAACTCTGAGATCCTCCCCGCACTGAAGTGAGTACTGGGGATGAGAAAGGTGGGGTATGGAAAGGCTGTGGCAACGTGGGAGGGTTCATCCCCAGCAGGAGGATGAGGTTTTGGGTTCCCCTGCCCAACTTGGAGATGAGATTTTAGCGTCCCCTGTCCATCATGGGGATGAAGTCTGGGGTTCCCATATGTCACACCTCCAGCTGCTGTCTCCTTGTCCCCCACAGGTATGTGCGGCCAGGAGGTGGCTTCGTCCCCAACTTCCAACTCTTCCAGAAAGGGGATGTGAATGGGGCCAAGGAGCAGAAGGTCTACAGCTTCCTGAAGGTGGGTGCTGTGCCAAGGGTGGAGGACAGCATCCAGATTTTGGGGGTCACGCAGCACTGACACATCTCCTCCTCTTTGCAGAACTCCTGCCCTCCGGTGGCGGAGGAGTTCGGCAACCCCAAGAACCTCTTCTGGGAGCCATTGAGGAACCACGACATCAAATGGAACTTTGAGAAGTTCCTGGTAGGCACTGACGGGGTGCCCATCATGCGTTGGTACCACCGCGCCAATATCGCCACCGTCAAGAACGACATCATTGCCTACATGCGGCAGCAGCGGGGCCAGTAGCCCCCCCAGCTCACGCCCCCTGCAGCCCCCAACCCAGCCCTGGGGAGCAGAGGACGACATCTCCATGAAGGCCTGGCCTGAAAGCCCCCACCATGGGGTGGGCTTGGCCTGATCCTGCCCGGGTGCAGTGCAGCTCTTCGGTGCATTCAGGCTGCCCTCACTGTGCAGGGATGTGTTCCTCTCCCAGCCCCGGGGGCCGACCCCCAGTGCTCCAACCCCACAGCAATGCCAAATAAAGGCTCTGCAACCGCGCTGCTCTGCTTCTTGCTTGTCACCACCAGAGGGTGAGATGCTTTATGGGATGGGGTCAGTGCTTCTCAAGGGGATGACAACTACACCCCCCACCCCCAGCCAGAGTGGAGCGTCTCCAGCTGGAAATCTCTGTGTGTTTATTAATTACAGCACACACACATTTATCACAGGCTCCAAGCGCTGCAGGCTGAGCCCAGCCTCCTCCTGGCTGCCCTCATGCTGGGTCACGGAGCGGGGCGAGCGCTCGGGTTTCAGTCCAGAGCACAGAAGGGAAAAATAACAGGCGGCAGCCAGGCAGGAGGAACGCTGCCGAGCAGCACCTAGAAACAAGCACAGCTGCTGCTGGCACGCGCATGACACCGACGGCTGTATTTTTTCCCCTACAGCTTTGTTTTCCTGGAGCAGGATTGGCTCCAGGGAGCGGGGGGATGCGTGGGGCTGAGCCCAGGGCTGGGCAGGGCTCGGATAAATGAATGTTGACCGCCTGCGCAGTGAGCGGGTTCATGTTTTGCTCTGGACACGTGGTTACATCTGAATCAATCTGGGCAAACAGTCTGAGACAACTCCCACCTCGAGTACTGCACTGAGACTCTTCCGGCGAAAACACACTTAGAATGAAAACAGATTCAGTTCCAGTCCTTAAATAAATACATCACCAAGCACTCTCAGTGCGGGATCCATCTGGCCACAGGTGCTCCCAGCACCAGGAGGGGACCGCTGGCAGAGATGCTCCAGGAACAGAGGGAGCGTGGCTCCTTTTCCTGGCTCAAGATCCCAATCCCAATCCTTCAGGTGGAAGGAGATGGCTATGCCATTCGCAGTCCCTCTGCCACCACTGCAGCCTCTCTGGCCCCCAGGCGTGCATCCACTGTGTGCAGATACATTGGGCAATCAGCTGGAGGAAGGTCCTATCTCTACATACACGGGCACACACACACATCCTGCTTCTCTTCTGCCATCAGCCCCCATCACAGCACAGCGACGCCGCTCCTCGGCATCACGGCAGCGCAGGACCTGCCTGGTCTGGGACACAAGAGACACAGCGTGGCATCAGCACCGCTCCTCAGCCACCACCCCATGTGTGACATGGGGACAGAAGGCTGGGACATGCTGTAGGGCCCCAGGGGGATGTGGTGCAGGACAGCAGGGGGATGCTACCATCAGGGTCCAGCCTCCACCACCCATTCCCACTCCCCCTTATGATACAGGATGCCCAAACCCATGGGATCTTAAGGGAACCCCTCCAGCTAACCCGTCCCATCCCTGCCCAGGCACTGGGCTCAGCCTTACCCAAGTCCTTGGGGACGGGTTTCACCCCAGGCACTGCTGTGGCATTCTGGCTGCGGGCCATAGCACAGGGTGGGCGCCAGGGGTATTCCGGCTGGAAGAGATGGGAATGGGATCGATGAATGACAGTGCATGTGCATCACGAGCCTCAGACCTGCTCTGTGCTCCCTGTTGTGCTCACTGGGGGATAATGGTGGAAGTTCTGTCCCGGCGCATGCTCGCCCTGCAGTGCTGGTGGGTAGCGGATCTGCTGCCATTCGTCGTAGCCATGGTACATGGGGTGAGGCACGGGGGGGCTGTACTGGTACTGGTACACGGGGCACGCGGGGCCCAGTGGTCCTGGCACTGGGTCAGGGTGCAGCCTCTCTCCAGAAGCCTGTGAGAGGCCAGGAGAGATGTTGAGAGCCTGGGGACAGCCCAGAGCAGTTCCAGCCCTCTCCTGTGCCAGGCCTTCCACTAGGAAGTGCTTTTCACCATCCCACCTGTTTGTGCTGTTTCAGCATCTTCTTCAGCTTCTCCTTCTCCTCCTTCTCTCTCTGGCAGTCATCCTTGGAGGCACGCAGCTGGGGGTGAGGAGGGGTTAGTGCAGAGCATGGGGCAAGGGATGCTGCCGTGCCCCAACCAGACTCACAGGAAAAGTGCGAGAGGCAGAGAGGAGAGCCCTAAACCCCTCCCCACAGGCACAGCTGGGCTGGGGAGATCTCTGTGCCAGGCAGGATGGGAGAGCAGTGCCACCCATTTAATAAACTTCAGTCCCTGCATTAGGCTCTGGCAGGGATAAGCAGCAGCAAAACCACTGCTCTGTCCTCTCAGTCCCTCCTCATCCCCTGCTCTGAGGTGTGTGACAGGGCTGCAACACAGGTAACGAGCATCTCCAACTCATCCATGAAGGGTGCAGTGCTGCTCACCTGGTTGTTGGACACAGCCAGCTGCTTCTGTAGCTTCTCCAGCTGCTGTTTCAGCTCCTCCTTCTCCTCGTTCATCCTCTCCCTGTCACTCCGCTCCCGCTGGAAGTCCTCCTCGAAGATTTTCACCTGGTGGAAGGCAGAGCACTGGGTGCACCTGGTCTCTGTGTTACAAACCCCAACTGCAGTGGCTGTGCCAAGTCCTGGGCACACATGGTACCATTACAGTCCCTCTGGTGAAGGACCACGGGACGCTCTGCTCTGTTTCCCTCCCACCCCTCTGGCCCTACCTGCTGCTTGAGCAGCTCGTTCTGGGTCAGCAGTTCCTGCGGTGGCACCTTCCCGGCCGGCTCCAGAGTGCCAGCGAAGATGGGTGGAGGGGAGGCCTGGACATTCAGGGCCTCCTCCAGTGCCTGGAGAGGGAGAGGAGTGTGAGTTAGAGTGGGTGACATCTCTGGGGTTGCATCCTTGGAGAACCGAATGGGGATGGGATGGGCATCGTCTGATGCTGTCACTCTGCAGCAAAATGGTGGCAGGGACCATTCTGCAGCTTCCTACCTTGTTCAGCCGCTGGATCTCCTTCTCCTGGTACTCCCTCTGTCTGGTGACTGGTGCCAG